TCAGATTTCTGTTCATCTGTACACTTTCCTGGATGATACCATCCACTCCCATGACTTCATGAGCCATCTGGATACTGGCGATTGCCACATTTGTAGATCTAGTCCAGGATTTTCTCCTGAGCCTTGGGCCTGAAAACCCAAAACACACACAACCCAGTGTGTTTAACTGGTTACTTATTACGAGTTCCTTGAAGGCAAGTGCCAGGCAAAGGCATCCTGTCTGACTCATTTCCCTTTGTATGCTTAGTGCCTGTCACATGGAAGGCATTTGGGAAAGAATACATAAATTTGGCTTTGGGCCAGTGACTCTTAAATTTGGGAGTGCAGGATAGATCACCTCCTCTTTTGATACTGAGAATATGGTGAGAATATTAGACCATTTCCCAAGAAGAATGAACATAAATTTTTATATACTTTCTTGGTCTGCATGTTTTCCTATGGTCCTCACTTAGAGAAGTCAGGTTGGCTGCTGATGCCACGCCAACCATCTCACACATAGACACACACACGCACATAATATACATACAAATATAGACGGCTTAAAGTACAGAATTTGATAAGAGTGTACTATATGCTTTGTATTAGCCATGATTTTTAGTTAAACCTGCCTACTGCCAACATTCCAGTAAACTGTCCCCCATCCTTCTTCGTTTCCTAAACTGGGGCATAATTTTATTAGTCCCAGCAATTGGGATGCTACATTTTCTTGTAGAACATCAAGGTCTTGATATAATTTGTATTTTATTCCATAATATGTTCTTTTCAAATATAAACTTAATACCGTTGAGCTATTATCCACTTGTAGAATAAATATAAGCTTTTCTTACTCCCCACAGTGGTGGATCCAGACCCCCAAAGCATTTAATTCTGATGTTGCTTTTGATGTGTTTTGGTTATATTGTCTCTTTGTGAAGCTAACTGGGCCATAAGGAGATCAATCCCATGGATGACCTTGGCTTCATTGTCACTATGCTACAATCAACTGAGCTAATTAGGCAGAAGATTTCTCATTATGTTGACTCATAAATATTCCTAATAATTTGATATCATATCTTTTTAAATCAAGGAACAGGTAGTTTCATTACCAGTTCTACCAGCTTAGCTATATCTCTCCTCTCATACTTTACTTTCTCCCTCCTTACAGCGGAAGCCTCTTCATGTATACATACTGGGCTAACACCTCAGCCCTGCATTCCATTCCCTTTTACCTCTACAAAGCCTTTACCTGTAGTATTATCATTTGTCTCCTGTAGCATCATCAGTGTCACCTTCTCTACTTGATCACTCTCATTGGTAAATAACTTGTCTTAATATCTGTCACCTCCCTTTAAAAAATGAAATGCAAGTAAAACCCGTTTTACTCAACTTTACCAATTTATTTCTTGCCACTGCATCACACTCCTGGAAAAAGCTATCTGTACTTACTGTTTCCACTTGCTCATTCCCATCCTATGTTCGTCTCTTTCTAATCAGACTTTCTTCCACACCACTCCACTGGAAGATTCCTTGTCAAGGTCATCAGCCTCTATTTAGTGAAAGAAAGTGTTCCATTCTCTGTCTTTATCTTACTCAACCTTGTAACACCATTTGCTGTAGTCAGCCACGTCATCTTTTAAAAAATTCTTTTCTTCTCTAGTCTTCTGTAGTACTGCATGAACATTTTTTGTTTGTTCCTCCCTCCATCCCCCCACCGCCCCTTTCACTGGCTATTTTTTCTCAGTTGCCTTTGACTTCTCTTCCCCCATCTGACTGTCAATGTTGGAGTGCTTCAAGGTTGCAGCCTCAGCCCTGCTCCCTTGTGTAGTTACTCTAGCTTTCTGGGAGCTCTCATCGGGCCCGTGGCTCCAGAATCATTTGTATATTGATGAATCTTTGGATCAGACTCATCAATATACAGTTGAGTTCTGAATGTGGATAGCCAGCTGTCTGCCAGACATCTCCACTTGTTTTGTTTAGATCTATAAAACAGAACCATTAACTCCTCTCTCCCTTTCCCCTTCAATTCTTCAATTCCCAAAGCTTGCCCTATCTTGGTAAATGACTCCATCATCCACCCACTCAAGTGCTTGGACCAAAAAGAAAACAAAAACAGTCTAGATATCATTCTTGAGTCTTCTCTTTCCCTTTCATCCCATATCCAATCCTTCAGCAAGTTGTCTGATCTCCATCCAAGATACCTGGCAGATCCAGTTACCCCTCTTTGCCTCCACTTTTAAAACCTAGATTTAAGCACCATCATCTTTTGCTTTGTACTGCAAGAGCCTCCTGACTGGTCTTTTTCCCCCACCCTTGTACTCTTCAATTTATCCTTCACATGCCAATTTAAATGGCCTTTCTAAAAGGCACATTAGTTGTCACTACCCTGCTTTAAAATCATCTTGCGGACGCCAGTCCTCTCTCCATATCCCCATGATCTTGTCTTTGGCCACTTTTTCCATTTTGACCTTCTCTCCTTTCCTCCTTGGTCACTGAGTTTTAGCTACCATGGCTTTGTTTTTGGCTCTTGAATCTTTTGGCTGTGTTTTGGTCTCACGGCCTTTGTATTTGCTTTTGTGCTGCTGAAAATACTCTGCTCTAAAGGCTTCTCTGATTGACTCTTCATCATTCAGATTCAAGTTAAATGTCAACTCCTCAGAGAGCCTAATGGAACCTACTAAGAGAGTTCCAGTGGCTGCCTTTCATCATCTTCATTGCACTTATTTGTGTCTGTAATTATTTTAATTGTTCACTTGTTTGTCTCCCTCCACAAGCTTGCTGAATGTAGGAATTGTCTTGTTCATACTGACTCCTCAGCAGGTAGAACAGTCCCTGGAAGTAGTAGGTATTCAGTACATATCTGTTGGGAAACAGACTATTGTTACAAAACTATTAGGTTTATTATATTTAGATTGTGTAAGTTTGTTATTAATAGAAATTGTCACCCAAATAGAATTAGTACCTACAGTGTTCAATTAATGTGTAACTTGTCTTCCCCTTATTTAGCTTAATAACAATTATCCTGTAATTTAGGATTTACAAACTATATACTTTCGCCTTTGGTCCTTCAGAACAACTTTGTAAGTTAAACAAGAAATATTAATGCCAACCTTTGACCCCCAAAGAGGTTAAGTGTCTTGTATAAGATTATAGTAGGTGAACTGGAACCTAGGGTCATCTAATTGCTAAACCAGACAGCTTTATTGGTATAGTGCCCTAGATGTGGGCTTGTGTGTGTGGTGGTAGTTTAGAAGAATTAAAATAACCTTTAGGACCAGCTGCTTTTTTTTTTTTTACCTCCCAGATTTCCTCCAAGGTGCGTTTTTAAGCTATCTTTAGCTCTGTGGCCATTCTTTTCAGCATTAGCATAAAATACTGGCTCTTATTATAACCAATATAAGATTTGACCAAATATTATTGTGGTTAAAGTGGTGATATTTAAAACTATCAGGTGTTGTATGTGTACAATTAACCATAGTCTCTATTCAGTGTGAGTTAAACTGATATAATGAATGTCTCCAAACAAATTTCTTAGAAAAAAAATTGGAGACCAACAAAGGGAAGGATAGCAATCTGTTGTTTTTTTTTTTTTCTTTTTTGCTAATGAGGGTATTAAAACATGAGACAGGACGAATCTACCCACTGTCTAATACCATCCTTATTAATTATAATCTTTCACTGCCTTGCTTTCCATTGACTCTATCTCAAAGCTTAGAGCTCTTTGGAAGCTTTCAGTTGGATGACTTCTGTCATCAGAAATCTAAAATGTTTTCTGAACTGCCCAGTGTGGACCTTGTTACAATCGCTAGTGAGAACATTCTCTGAAATCTTTTTTTGGTACCTTCAACAAAGTAAATAATTACTTCAAATCTATATATTCATTGCTCATTATTTATTCTAACAGTGTAATTAGTTCTCCTCTTCTATTTGCTGCCTGCCTCAGCATTGAGATTGATAGTTAAAACACTTAGAGCCAAGAGCCTTCCAGTAATCTACTGTTTTCCTGTCTTTGTTCTTTTGGAATGGTCTCTTGCCAAAAGCACAAGTTGAAGTCAGGTTTAATTTGATAATTAAAAGTAATGTTATTCTGGTATCTCTGCTCTTTTCTTCAGCATTCTTAAATAGACTAGGGAAAAATGTCACTTGCTACTGCTGTATTGCTCTGCTCCCACAATAATGTACATATTTACATACTTTGCATTAACTAATTGGGATATATCTGGGTTTCACAGGATCAACAGGGTTAAATTAGAGGGGGACTAGCTTCATAGGGTAAAAGAAAGGCAAAATGGATGTTCATCCAACTCTCTCTTAACCTCCTTCCTCATATCTTTTGAATTCGACACAATAAATATTATTCCACTCAAACAATAAATATTATGTCCTACAGTGTACCATCTCCCTTACAGTGACAGTAGGTACAGTCAGCCAGTAACACGACCTGTTTCTTTTAAGAAAGATCATCTTAAGTGTCCTGTGTTTTGTGACTTGCAAATCTTTAATCAGTCTGACAGAAACATTTTAGTAAAGAAGCTTTTAGAGCTTATGATAGATTAACTTTTCGTTGTTCTCAAGGATTTTCACTGACTAGTTTTCCAAGATGCAGTTACTAAATCAAATCTACATTCATATCTTTGTATATAAATGTCCCTAGTTTTGGAAGGAAAGCATCCTAAGGTCAGGAAAATGTCTAACTTCAGTATAAAAACCATCAAACTGTCTTCTCAGTTCTGGTCTCCAGCAGTCTACAAGATGGTATAAGACAGTATGATCAGAGATAAGCCCTTGGGAAAGTGAAAATGCTTAATCCAGTCCTCAGTCTAAAATGTTCTTTTAAAGCACTGCACATGTTTTTCAGTGATTTAAATTCTGTATACTTAGTCTAAAGCATGGAAAGAAACATTTTGGTAGGGTCTTAGGAGTTGTAATACAAAGAGTGATGAATTAAGATACTTTGAATGAAAACAGATATTTTCATTTGTAAGTAGTAAAACTGTTCACTGAAATTTGTTTTTCTTTATTAGGTTTAAGTGGAAACCCTGCAGATTTAGAAAGAAGAGAAGCAGTGTTTGGAAAGAATTTTATACCTCCTAAAAAGCCAAAAACTTTTCTTCAATTAGTATGGGAAGCATTACAAGATGTCACTTTAATTATATTAGAAATCGCAGCCATAGTATCATTAGGCCTTTCTTTTTATCAACCTCCAGAAGGGGATAATACACGTAAGTAAATGGAGGGGGACGGGGGAGACTTTTATGTGTGATGCTGGTTCAGCTCGTTCATTTAATTAACACATAATAACAATAGCTGCCCAACATTTATTGACGTTCGTTATGATTTAGATCGTGTCACCTCCCTTTTACAGTGAGGCACAGAGGTTAAATAACCTGTCCATATATATGTCCATACATATATTGTGTGTCTGGCACAGACCTAAGCCATATATATGACATGGTCTGTGCTATCACTGTTTTTGTTTTTAGAACACTATTCTATTATACAACAATTCCAGTTTTTAATTTTTGGTTTCTTTTGGAAAACATCTTTATGAAAACAAAATTCTATTCTCTTCCCAAATCCATTACTTCTCTAGTTCTTAAAATTTTTGTTATATACACCATTTGGATAATTACCTTGCCATTATAGAAATGTTTATACTATAGGTTGAGCATCTCTAATATGAAAATCCAAAATCAGAAACTTTTTGAGCACTGACGTGATGCCACAAATGAAAAATTTCACACATAAGTACTTAACACAATTTTGTTTCATACACAAAATCATTGAAGATAATGTATAAAATTACCTTTGGGCTATGTATATAAGGTGTATATGAAACATAATTTCATGTTTAGACTTGGGTCCAATCCCTGAGATATGTCATTATGTATATACATGTATCTCAGAATTAAAAAAAAAATTGAAACGCTTCTGTTCCCAAGCATTCCAGATAAGGGCTACTCAGCCTGTATTAAGTTATCCTGACCAATAGAGAAATACACTATAGAATGGTAGTTCTGCTTTAACTTGTAGCTACCAATGGTTTTGTATTTTTTCATCTTTCTATGGCCTTCATTTCTCTTTCAAATTTCTTCTTCTTTGCCTTTTAAAAAATTTATTTAAAATTAATATTCCTGCTGGTACATTTCTATGATATAACTGGTAAGAAATCTATCCTGGGTTTTGGTTACTATATTCAAGTAGCTATAAAGTGAACCAATAGTATTTTCTGTAACGAAACACTGATTCACTAAAATATTTTTGTTTGTGAAAGCTTTACTCCTATACCATTCAAGTTACAGACAGTTTAATGAATATTTGCTAATTCTAAAAGTTAAGGTAATCATGTAAAATAATTCCTTCAAAGATGTGCCTAGGCTCATATGGGAACTTTCTTCCTTATCTTTCTTTTAAGAGAGCTGGTTACAGGATAAGCCAGTTTATCTGAGATCTGTGTAGATCAGAGTTTCTCAGCAGTAGTACTGTTGACAACCACCCCCCAGTTAAGGCAACCACAAATGTCTCCAGGTTTTGCCAGGTGTCCCTGGCAAAACTGCAGGGGCAAAACTGCTTCTGGTTGAGAATTACTGGTGTAGGTAAGAAGGGGTTTAGGCAATACTGTTGTCAGTGTTGAGCTAAATTATTTTTAGAACTTTTTATTAAATAAATAATACATATTTTGCTGTTAGAAAGAACTGAGTGGGGAGATAGTCCAAAGGAAGTTAATATTCACCAGAAATTCTACATGTTGGAGATTCCTGCTATTCTTACAGATTCCTGCTATACCATTTTTGATAAATCATTCCATATTTTTAAAAATGTTATATGTCTGTGTGTGGCTGTGTGTGCTAATATATGTGAATGTGTACGTGGCGGGGGGGGCTGTGGATGTATGTGTTTATATGAAAAGGGAGGTCATAACCATGTTTAGCAACATACAGCTGAATTCTTTAGTTTCCCATTTATTTACCCACCTGTCACTATAGAATACTGGGAATTGGTATTCCAGTATTGAGTTATCAGATTATTAAAATCTCTTTACATTTAGAAAATTAAAGAAAAATGTTTTCAATAGAGTAGAATTTATTACCAACAAAGTCTAGGACAAAAATTTTTGGAGTTTGAAGTGCTTGATTTGTAGGATGTAGTGACAGGTACTTTCCCAAATTTGTTAATGGAGATGCTGGTATTACAGTCTAACTGAGAAGGTAATCTAGAGTTGTCAGTGTTGTAAGACCCTTTAAAGAGGAGTCACAATCTGCTGAAAGTTGCTAATGAAACATGGAAAGATTTTTGCTACATGGTGAGAAGTTATTTAGTGTTTGAAGTTTCTTTCTTTAACATTTATTAGTATACTACATGTATCTTTTTATCATGTTATTTTTTAACACTAAGATATAGTAACTTGCTTAAAGGATATCTTTTATTTGCATATCTACAGTCATAGAAATCTAAATTATCAAACTTTCTTACTCATACTCTTTGGTGTGAAAATGTATACAATAGCCCACACCATAAATAAATCTATAGTTACTGGTGTCTGCATACTAGGGATTCTCAAACATTTTGGTCTCAGGACCCCTTTACACTCTTAAAAGTATTGAGGACTCCAAAGAGCTTTTTAATTATATGAGTTATAGATAATTAGTCTAAGTTAAAATGGAGAAATTTAAAAATATTTGTCAATGTGTTCTCACCGCAAAAAAAAATGGTAACTGTGTGAGGTGATGGATATGTTAATTGATTGTGGTAATCATTTCATAATATATATATATATCAAAATATTATGTTGTATACCCTATATATATGCAATTTTTATTTATCAATCATACCTCAATAAAACTGGAAAAAATGTCAGTGCCTTTTAAAATAATAACCTAGTACATATCAGCATAGATAGCATTTTGATGAAAAGTGGCCCCCCCCATAATGAATTTTTAAATGAAATAATGAGGAGTGGTAATGTTTTTCATTTCATCATATCTCTTTAAAGTCTGGCTTCACTGGAGATAATTGGGTTCTCATATCTGTTTCTGCATTTAATGTGTTACATTATCACATGTAATGTTATCTTTGGAAAATTCTGTTTTACATTAATGAAGTATGAGGCAAATAATGTCTTAGTATTATTATGAAAATTGGTTTGACCTCAACGATACCTTTGGGGTTCCTCAGCAACACTTTGAGAACTACTTCTGTATACTGTTGGCGCACACAGTTGATACATCACTCAAGAAATAGCTCAAGTAGCGGGTTTTAAAATGGAATATTTGCCCTGAGGTAGAGAGTATAGAATGAATTTAGATTTTGCATCTCTCTCAGTTGAATGTGTTTACAAGGGAATACCTTTACTAAAGTAAAGTAGATTTTTATTATTATATTTGGACTTTATTGAAAACATTATTAAAAATATTTTTTGTAACTATAAACTATAGTCCTTTTGTAACTTGATCTTGATACTACTTTCTTTTTTTCCCTACAACTTCTCTAAAAATTTATAATGGTTGTCAGTAGGAAAAGGATTCGGTTTCTTAAAATATTTTACTACTATCTATTTCAGGATCATTCTGATCTTATCTGTATAGTATAGAGTAGAACTATATATGAAATATGTCATTAATTTGTTTTAACTTTTCTTTTGAAATATTTAGTGGTAAATAGGCACACATGATTTTAAAATGAAAATTATATAATTGTCACATAACTCCTTCCTCCTTAACCTCTGTTACATTGGTTTTTGGTTATTTACTCTTATCAAGAAAAAAATTGAATACATACCTCCAAATGGTGCATTTATTAATTACATATGTTTAAAACTGTATATAATCTGTGTATTTTTAAGCATATACAAAAAAAGAAATTGAAAGAAAAAGTTTAAAATTTTGATCTTTAATGGCCATAACACATTATTATTAACCTGATTTGAGTCTAAGTTTGATTTATTTCAGAACTTGGTTTTAGTGTCTCTCATAGATGAAAAGAAACACACAACATTATATAAATCCAAGTGGACAAAGTGTATCACTACATTATGATACTCATTTTCAGTCCCATCCACCAATTACGAAAAGGTGTTTGTTGGAATATGACCGGTAAATTGTATCTTCTGATGTCAATCTATTCTTGCACACTATTATGAAGTATTGCATTTTTATATTTTTAATACATGACATCAAAACCCTCTGAAATGCTTCATTTGGATAATCTTTTAGGTATATTTCTGAGTTGATGAAAGTGGTCAGGATGGTATTTCAACCTTCATCTGTCCTTGAATCCAGACTTGTTCTAATTTAGAATTAATCTCCTGTCTTCTGGGAGTGAGGGGGATGTTATCCTCACAGCTTCTACTATTTAAAATAATCTAAATCATCAATTCACTTAACTGGTTATTGTATACAGTGATACATAGTGATATCTTGAACTTGAAGATAATTAACATAGAAGTTATAGTATTTGTGTTGGTGCCCCCACCAGTCAATGGATCATCCTGTCTCTACCTTACTTTAGAAAACATCCTTTATACTCGGTGAGAGTGAATCCTACTGATGATTCTCAGGATATTTTTTGTGACTGTTCACGTCATGTCTTCCATTTCATTCCCAATTGATCTTACTTCGTTCTCTGCCTTCCCTCCCTTCAATCCACCCAACATTCCTCTCCCACGTTAATGTTTAATTAGTGCCCTCACACCTCAGATCCTTTCTTCAGTCTGTGCTCATGGTTCTGGAATATGCTTTAACCATTTTTAGTGTCATCTGTTTACTCATTCTTTTCTTCGAATAGTCCTCTCCTGCCTTGTCTGTCCTAGGAAAACCATTGGATTTCAGACATTTCGGTTCAACGCAGTAAGAAATAATTTTACATAACAACCCAGAAACATATATTCCTTCATGTGAATTTATAAATGATCAGAGTATAGTTTCAAAAAGCAGTACTTACCTTTACTACATGTATATCCCTTCTGTTTTGTTCTGTTTCATTTTTCAGAATGCTGCTCATGCACTGCTGAATTGATTTTAGACTCACAAGTAGGTTACAGCCTGAAGTCCCAAAAGCACAGTTCCATTATTCGTCACCATTGTTGACTCTACGGTTTTGGGTTTTCAGTTTTTTTCCCCCTCATCCTTTTCTGAACTCTTTTCTGCCATAGAGCATTTGCACTGACTTTCATCTCTCCCTGGAATTCTTTTCCGTTAGGTCTATATGGCTGTTTCCGTATTAGCATTTGGCTCCTAGCTCAAATGTCATAGACACCTCAGAGGAGCCTTCTCTACTCACTGAACCTCAGCCCTCTTTTTGCGTTTGATAACACATCACCATGTGTTATTTTCTTTGTGGCTCTTACCAATATCTGAAGTTAATTATTCATGTCTTCTCATCTGAATTTTTCATACCCATCCCCACCTACCATTCTGAGTGTGGGTTCCATGACGAGAGGGAGTTTGTATGTCTTAATCACTACTGTATCTCTAGCTCCTAAAATAGTGTCTGGCACCTAGTAGGTACTCAAATAGTTAAATTAACAAGTAGCACTTTGCTTAACTTTTCATGTTATAATAGCCAAGCTTTGATCACAGTCCAATAAAAATGACATAGTAAATAATTGGTTGAGTGTGAAGGATGTCTCAGCCACTGTTCTGCCTACTTTCTAGGTATCCTCATGATAACTCTGGGAGGGGTGGTGGTACCCTAATTTGATAGGTGAAGAAACCAAGTCTTAAAAATAAATAACTTGCCTTAGGACCAAGATTTGATCTCCTTTAGTGTCCTTACTTTTAACTAGTACACTATTCTGCTTCCCTGAGGTTGAGAATCTCAGAAACGGGGAACTTGAGATTGACATAGTAAGTGTTCTTGTTGATGTGGAATGCTTTTAATTTAATTAATTTAGAGTTATAAGTAAAATTGATATAGTAAATAAACATAATTAAATTGAAAATATGGTTTGGAGTTATATATGTATGTTGTCATCAATTCAGGATTCTTTTTTTGATAAGCATTTTTCTTTCTTTCCAAACAGTTTGTGGAGAAGTTTCTGTTGGGGAGGAAGAAGGTGAAGGTGAAACTGGTTGGATTGAAGGGGCAGCAATCCTCTTGTCTGTAGTATGTGTGGTATTAGTAACAGCTTTCAACGACTGGAGTAAGGAAAAACAGTTTAGAGGTTTGCAGAGTCGAATTGAACAAGAACAGAAGTTCACCGTCATCAGGGGTGGTCAGGTCATTCAGATACCTGTAGCTGACATTACTGTTGGAGATATTGCTCAAGTGAAATATGGTAAGTAGAAAAGAGCAATACATCTGACACTAAGCATAAAATTATTCATGTTTACAGTTTAGCTATCATTGCTTTTTTATTTTAGGTGATCTTCTTCCAGCTGATGGCATACTTATTCAAGGCAACGATCTTAAAATTGATGAAAGCTCATTGACTGGTGAATCTGATCATGTTAAGAAGTCTTTAGATAAGGATCCCTTACTTCTATCAGGTATGAATTTCTTTTGTAACTTTGAACTTTTTCCTCCCCCACAATATGTACTGTTGTCAGCAAACACTGTTTTCCTAAGAGCCAACAGTGTAAACAAGAATCTGTATTTTATGCTATCCTCTACCCTTATGATATGTAGAGACTTTTTTCAGGGGTAAGCTAACAGAAACATTAGAGATCTTTAAATGCAAAGCTATATTTTACAAATAAGGAACCTGAGTCCAGGAAATCAAGTGTGAAAATTGGTGTTAGTTACTATAATGGTAAAACTAAATAGAGGCCAAATGATATGTATTGAATTGTTTTGTTATTCTGTATCACGTTTATCCTTAAGGCCTGCTGAAGTATAAAATTAAAGAATGATTATATGTTTAAAGCAAAGTAATGAATTCCCTGTGATGATCTACAAAGGACAAGGCTTTCAGAAACAACTGATAAAATCCTTGAAGTTTACCTAATCCAACTCCCTCATTTAACGGCTAAAGAATGAGTCTTGAGATGCAAACTATTTATCTAATACATGACTAACCAACAGGAGGTCCAGGAGTAGCATCCACATGTAGTCAGGATTGAATTTGCACATGGTTAAGACATGTTCCAGGAATGGAGAAGGGAAGAGTTTGCATAGGTTAGGATATTATTTGAAAGGGAGAGGTGGGTGTCTTCTTGGGAGGCTTTTATGATAGCCTAACCGTGATAGGGTGGGGAACCTGTGACCTCAAGTCCACAGGTGGCCCTCCAGATCCCCAAGTACAGCCCCTCGGCTGAATCCAAGTTTCAAATCCCTTTTAATAAAGGGATTTGTTCTGTGACATTTGGATTCAGTCAAAAGGCCACACTCAAGGATCTAGAAGGCCACAGGCTCCCAACCCCATGGAGATGAAATGGAAGGGATGGTGGGAAAAATTACAAGCTGCCTTCTAAAACGCTGAATAAGAGGAAGCCAAGGTACCACAAATGGACGCCAAAAGCATGCAAATTCTTTAACAATGTCCAAGATTCCTCTTCTTAATTTTCCACTATTCTTTATAGAAGTTATGAAATTGTCTATCAGAACTATGTTTATTAGATAGAGTTCATACTAGAGTTTGGGAGAAGCCAAATGTTCCTCATCTTCTATTATTATCAGATGTTGATTGAACGCTAACGTTTTATACATTGTCAGAAGGTTCCTACTGATTTAACTACTTAATAACTTGGCAGCTATAATTTTTCTGTCCTTTTCTATGAGCTTTATATTTTAATTGGTTGAACATGATTTTACTGAAACCAAAGTTAAACCTGTGATATCAACAAGTGTCAGTTAAGTTAGAATGACAACTTTGGAGCAAAACCTAAGTTTAATCATTACTTTTTAAAAATTTGCAAATGTGTGCCAAAAAAAGAGCTTATTGCAAAAAAAAATAGTAATTACATGTGTATACATTTATAAACACCATTATAGGTAGGGTAAAAGTTCTGATTGTAATATAGATTTACATTCCGTCAGTAAAACTCTTGAGGTTTGTATACCTTCAATATCCTACTCCACTTTAGAACATTCATACTCTATTTGGGTCTTTCTTTGTATTGGTATGCTTTTAATTTGCACCAAATAGAAATATTTTGGCTTTATACTAATGTATTTAAGTATGATGTGTACTCCTTGCCATGCTTCTAAGAAACTATAGTTAATGTTAACCAAATAAAATCTATATCCTTTCTACAGGAGAGGAAAACTATCTAATCATACCTCAGATTAACTAGGCCGCAATATGTGTGACAAGCTGAGATTGTCTCCTTTTGCTGTATATACTGCATGGACTTTTATGTACCTCAAGCTTGTTTACACAGAGCTTAGCTCTTCAGGTTGATTTCCTTTAACTGAACTTTGGTCTTTTACTGTTTTAACAGAGATGACTGGTAAGCTTTATGTAGACTCAGGTTCCTGACACACCAAGTATACCAAGAAAACTCTATAAATTTTCCATGTTTAAGAAAAGACTGAAATAACTTTGCAGAGTTCCTTATCGCAGTATGGGTGGGAAAGTTTTTCTGCATTTATTTCCCTATTCCAAAAATGTACTAAAAAACATGGCATGCATTTATTTTTAAATTTACTCTCATGATGCCATCTCTTACTGCTGTTCTTGGCTTCTTAAATTTAGATTTTTAAAAGTAGTATTCAGTTAGTGGTGGGGATATGACCAAGACCAAAACTGTTTACTTTGAGCACATTAACTGCCAACATCTGATTTTCTATGGTAAGGAAGAACAGAACCTGAAAAATTGACGTCTGGAGGAAACCAGAATTTTTAAAAGAAATAAACTGTTTTTTACATGTAGTATTTAGTAAATATTGTTTCACTATCTTGAATTTCACTTCTTGTTTTCCTTGCACTTTCACTGCAAAAGAATCTCGTAATTAATGAAATAAACAGAATATAGATTTTTAAAAGCAGAAAAATGAAAGGCCTAAAAAATTCACATCGGATAAGTTACTCAGTAATTAAAAACAAAATATAAATTCTTAAATATTGGAGTAAGTGTGTATGCTATATGATCTCAATTAGCAAATAGCCTTTGAGCATCCATTTGGTATACAAGATGGTAGTAGGTGCTACAGACCATGTCCTCCAAAAGGTTGTAAACTAGGAGATAAAATACAGATAAGTGATATTTGTAAAGAAGACTTTATTGAGTGTTTAAAAAAGTGGGGGAGGGGGAAGTTCTGAAGCCTGATTAAAATTCATAGAAAAGATTAGAATTGAGGTGTGGGAAGCCTTTTAATGAGTAAGGAAAGATGCAGAAATGTGGATATACAAGTTAGAAAACTGTAAGCAAACTTATCAGCATTATATCATAAGAAGAATTATACCCTTTATCTTCTGATGGAGCTGGATTGAGTCTTTGCCGTGCCACTTAGTAGTTGTATAACCTCAGGGAATTTCCTAGAAAATAAGAATAATAATGCCTGTCAACTTACAAGGTCAATCATGAGGGACATAGAGTTTGGTCAGTATTCCCATCGCTGCTCGCTTGCTTTCTGTAATGGAATTTTATGTTAGAGTAGTGGATGAAAAAGTTTGAAAGGTTGGTTGGTCTCAAGGTGAACACTTTGTACTTAATCTGGTAAAACAGTGTAGGGTCAGAAATTTTTCAGCTGTGAGAGGCAAATGATGAGATCACATTTCAGAAAGATTAAAACTGATTTCAGGATGCATTGGGAAGGCAGAGAGACCTAACTAGGGGGGCTATTGTAATAATCTAGGCAAGCTGAAATGAAAGCCTGCAGAGGTTGTGGGTTTGGGTGTGGCAAATGTGACATTTGTTGCTGTGGAGTCCTTTTGGTTTTAAGTATGTTTCTTTATAAGCAGTGTATTTCTCAGAGAAATGTCTCTCATACCTTCTGTTATCATTAATAACGAGCATGCATTGAACCCTTACAGATTCTAAGCAGTATGCTAAGCACTTACATTTATAGGCTTACTGGAGAAATGTAAATCTCATAATATTTTTATGAAGTGTACAGACAAGGAATTGAGATGTTAAAATTTTCCCAAAATCACCTGGTAAATGAGTAAGTAGTAAGGTGAGCCTTGAACTCACCCTACTACTAAGTTAAACCTTAAGCACAAGAACTTAGGTTTTACTTAATGTCTTATTAAATATGTTTTATTAAATATTGAGGATATTAAGGACAGTATTACTAAAGTTTAAAAATTGGTGATAGCAGGGAAATTTATTATAAATTTTAAAAAACAAACAAGTTTTCTGTTGTTGTAGGTACTCATGTAATGGAAGGCTCTGGAAGAATGGTAGTTACGGCTGTAGGTGTAAATTCTCAGACTGGAATTATCTTTACCTTACTTGGAGCTGGAGGTGAAGAGGAAGAGAAGAAAGATGAAAAGAAAAAGGAAAAGAAGAGTAAGAATAACAATTTGCTATAAGGATTGATATTTGGAAATCTGGCAACTAGATTCTAAGAACTGGTACAGGAAATAGACTTCATGAGATTCTGATACGAAAAATTCTACAAAAAGTTAATTACCCAATATTGTACTTTCAAGTGGTAGAATTAAAGGAGAGAGAATTTTTCTTTTAGACTTAATAGTCCATTAAGGACTGTTAGGGAATACATCAGTCCCCTTTACCATAGCCAGACAAATTCAGCATCTGCTTGTATACTTCCATTGGCTTTGTTCTGTCTGTTCTCCAGTATTGAGAGTCTCGCCTGTCATCTCATCGGCAAAATGAATTGAACTCTCACTACCTATGTGCTTATTTTTTTCTGCTACTTCAGTAGTAATGTTCTTTATCAGCTGTATCACATTTTGGTCTCGTGCTTTTAATCTTTTTCAAATTTTTTACTATTTACATTTCCCATTCTGTATTTATTCAGTTGGTTTTTAGACACAAGACTAGGACTTCACTTTGATACTTTATGTTTGTCTTGTTATGTTCAGTCCATCATTAGCTATCAAGATCTTTATTCAGATCCATTGTATCTGCTATTCCTCCCCGTGATTTATCATCAGCAAACTCGATAACTATAGTTTATCCACAAGGATCTTAAAAGAAACAATGCCATGCGTAGGAGACATCTCAGAATCTCCTAGTTGAGGGGCATGCCACTTTTAAAAAGCCCTTCCCACCCTGCTGTATCTGCTGTACCACCCTTCTCTCCCACTCAGGATCACTCCTGGAGTCTTTTCCCCTTAGGTTGATAGCAGTTTACTGTGGTTTAGCCACTTAGATTTATTTAATTTTACTTAGGATAGTAAGTCCATATTTCTCTTATAAGTATTTTGAGATCTCCTAAATTAAATGCCTTCAAAAATCTTGGTTTGCCATAACTATAGCAGCGTTTTTAATATTTGAGTGATTTGCTCTGTTTTTTGAGTTTTGTCTTTAGCTGTGAAATCCTTATTTCAAACAAAAATATATTTGAAAAGTTCTGGCTGCAGCTGAGGGTGGCAAGCTCCACATTCCAGGTTTTCTCTGTCCCGCTCCTTGAGGCAGCCCTCAGTGTGCCTTCATAGGTTTCCTAAGACTGAGTGGAATGTAATTTGAAAACCAGTAATGATTCCATTTTTTGAGTGCTATGTGTGCACTATCTCATCAATCCTCACACCATACAAAGTAAATATTATTATTTTTACTGATGAGTATACTGAGGCTTATGAAGGTTATGTAACTTGTTCCAGGTCAAAGTGCTAGTAAATGGTTGATCAGATCTTCTCCTCTGGCTCAAGAGTCTACCCTTAACCACATACTATGCTCCAAACTAATTAACAGGGCCTGATAGTCATCAAACCCTGTTACAAAAGGAAGGGAAGTTTGTATCTTGACTTTATTCTTATTGACTCCACAGTGTCTTTTCCAATAAGCACTTTTTTTCTCAAAGTCTTACACAGCTGTTTTTATTAATCCAGTCCAGAATATTCCCACAGGAGTTAACAGATTAACCTCTAATCATCTAATTAATTATCTACCTTTTTTTTTTTTTTTTTGGTAGACCAGGACAACATTTTTCCACCTATGGACTTCCAGCCCTTCTCTCATTCCCTTGACTACTTTGGCAGTTACTCAAAAGCAGTTCAGGATAATCTGTCTCATTTCCCTCAGTAGCCTGAACCATGATGGTCTGGTCTCTCAACTTGAGCTCATTGAAAGTAGCGGGGTATTCTCTTACTATCTCCTCATCTATCTTGAGCTTCTGTTCCTTCTTGACCATATTTGTTCCATGTTTTCCAGTTTGAGGATAGTTCTCTTTGATAAAGAAGTTGGAACAAAATAGGCTGAATGGTTCTGCTGCCTCTCTGTCATTTTAAATATTGCACTGCGTACTCCAGGTAATAGACCTGTCCCCTCCTTAATTGGTTTATTACTTCAGACATGCTCATCTTCCTGTGTCTCCAAATTGAAGCTAATTTGGAGAATTACCTTAACTGGTAGTCTTACTGGCTTGCTTTCTACATTCATATTCTAGTTTTACTAACTTGCCTCTTTTGTCTTTCATACAAAAATTTTTGTTCTCACTCTGATCAAAGCTCTCCTGTGTGCCTGTTTTTTTTTTGTTTGTTTGTTTTGTTTTTTAACATTCATCTCTCCCTCTCCATCCCTGCCCTTTTCTGCTTTCTTAGAGTTGTATCTGTATTTAGTTTGAAAACCTCTTGTACTATATTTGGGTTTATTATAGCTTTTAAAAGAGTAAAGTCTTATGGAGAAATCAAACAAGTATAAATGCCCTAAATTATTTTTGGAGTATTTTTCCATGGGTAAGACCTAGGGAGTGATTGACTGAGCAGATCATCGCACGCCAAATGTTTTCTAATCTCTGGACAGACCCCCTGAAACACACACCCCCATTGTGTAACAATTCTCTTATAGAAATGTGAACTACCTCTGCATAATTTAGCATGGCTGTATTTATTTCTTTGGGAAAGCTTTAATTCCCATTTTGTTCCTACAGATAAGAAACAAGATGGAGCTATTGAGAATCGCAACAAAGGTAAATTGAAGAGGATAAAAGTACAGTGAGCTTGTAGCTTGTTTTCATTATATCCAAAAATAGATCTGTGTACTGTATCCAAAAGTAGGATACATGTGGCAGGGAAAATCAATATATGTTAACTTGGGTTAACCTCTTCTTCCTGCCAGTGCTTTAGTCATGCTGTCTTTACAAAATGTTAGTAAGATTTTAATTATGATGTGTATACAAGTCGAGTGTCCTTTATCCAAAATGTTTGGAACCAAAAGTATTTCAGATTTTTTCTAATTTTGGAATATTTGCATATATGTAATGAGATATCTTGGGTATCAGACCCAAATCTAAACACAAAATTCATTTATGTTTCATATATGCCTTGTATATATAGCCTGAAGGTAATTTTATACAATATTTTTAGTAATTTTGAGCATGAAACAGAAGTTTTGACTATGACCTATCACATGAAGTCAGGTGTGGAATTTTCCACTTGTGGTGTCATGTCAGTGCTCACAAAGTTTTGGATTTTGGAGCATTTCAGATTTTTGGATTAGGGATGCTCAGCCTATAGTAAGTTATGCAGGTAACTTTCAACTTAAGTATTTCAGGTGTTTTAACATTGGTTATTATATAGTTGGTAGCAAAAATACATAAGAAACAAAATATATGGCATAAATATTTTTTGCATTTATTTAAACATATAAATATATGCACATTTCTCTATAGACACAGTCATACATAAACCTTACATTATGGTCATAAATTCATAGGGGAGGGATTTATGGTATTTAGATATTACCTAATATAACACACAGAAAAGGAAATGATTTAGTATTCTTTAGCCCTCAGTGTAAGGACCCTGTACTTCTTTTTATGCCACATTCCCATTGCCTAGCACAGCACTCTGAAATCTGGCACAGAGTTTGACAGCCTGTTGTTCCATTGTCTTTTCTCTTTGTAGACACATACACGCACAAACACACGCAAAGTTGAATGCTTTATACCTTTTTGAGGTTCTATAAGAATCTGATTGCTTTGAAATGTGAATAGTGATATGTTTCTTTAAAATGTAGTAAAATTATGTTTGCTCTTGCATGTAGCAAAAGCCCAGGATGGTGCAGCCATGGAAATGCAGCCATTGAAGAGTGAAGAAGGTGGAGACGGTGATGAAAAAGACAAAAAGAAAGCAAATTTGCCAAAAAAGGAAAAATCTGTTTTACAAGGAAAACTTACAAAACTGGCTGTTCAGATTGGCAAAGCAGGTATAAACATATAGAAGAAAATAAGATGTTTTACTTTAAAACATGCTAACTTTATGCTTAAAAACTGACTTTTGACACCCTTACAGCTGGAAATTGTTGCTTTGTGACTAAAAGGAGACTTAAAAATATTTTCAGTTTTATCCACAATGTACCCAGGCCCATCAAGTTACTGTAGATACTCATAATATCATTGCAGCTTAGGGGCTATTATCCCCATTTTACGTAGAGGGAATTGACCTCTGTCAACCAGCTAATACTGTGTGGTCAGTTTAGGATTAGTGCCTGAATCTGCCCAATTTTCAAGCCCATGCACTAATCTCTGAATTTCTCAGGGCAGTAGAAAGAAAGCTACCAATGAGGTAATTCAGTAGAGATTATCCAATTATGTTTTAATACAAAGAAATTTCATCACATATTTTGCTCATCTAAAAATTTGTTTTGCTGAATGGTAGAGTTTAGTTAACTGAATGGACTTGTCGTAGTGTGGCTGAAGTTACTAAATTACTGCCCTCACTAGAAAATACCTGTTAATAAAACCACTGGAGGAAAAAAAGGCAGAGCTCTTTGATAAAAAAAAAGAGCGTGCCCTCCAGCACTATTATCTTTTTAAAAGAACATTGTGTGGATAAATAAGCATGATTAAAATCACTTAAATTGTATCCTTTTACTGCTTTCTAGGAGTATGATAAAAAAGTGAAGTTTTTGCTTCTGTCCTCAATAAACTTATTATCTAATAGCACATATTTACTTCTTATAACATGTAGCCAAATGGTAATATTGACCCATATAGTGTTGAGGGAAAAGTTGATTTGAGGTGGTGGTAGCATTTAGTAGATGTTAGATTAGGATATTAGACCTGGATATGTAGACTTAACCTTGTTTTTTAATATATAAGAGGCTAAGTATCCTGCAAAGTAGAGCTAAGTGTTTTGTAATACATGGTTAACTCTTGGTTTTCTAAGTTATTGAAGCAGTAAGGATAGACCAAAAAATAATAATTCAGATAATATAGTTTTATTCTTATGTATTTTTTAACACATTGACTGCCACAGTAGAAAAAAACAATTTTCCCTGGGACCACAATGTTTTAGTAAAACAAAACGATCCTTTCTAATTTGTCATTTTTTTGTTGTTTTCTGTGCGTGAGTTATATGCAACACAATCCATGTTTTTAGAATTAAACTGTCAATATGAATTGTAACAATAAGGACATCAACAAATAAGACTTTCACAAACCAAGTGCAGGGTTTTGCTTCACAAGGCCTCGGGCTCAAAACTAGCCTGAGTTAAATCCAACTCACATGGCAGTCAGTATGTTAAACACAGGGCCAAATATTTAATTCCAAGTCTCCCCACCGATCAGATTCTTACCACCCTCTTTCAGGATTAAGCAGGTTGCCTCTTGAACATGTAAAGCACCAGCTTGTGATAAGCTTTGGGTATTTCCTTGTCATTGCCTATTATTTTTCCTCAGCTTTAGTAGAAGGCCAAAGATACAATTAAGTCTAGGAAAGAATCATAAACGCTTTTCTCCCAATTCTTCTGAGGACAGGGCTATACTTGGAAGCAAAAGTTAAATCTGTCAGTGTCAAGTGGTAAGTTAGGTGCAAAACGGAGGTGACAGTTTCTCAGAGAAATTAAAATAAATATTATCAAGCTAGTTACAACTCCTCACAGTGGCTGATAATGTAACTGACAATGGGTAATATCTCGAAATTTAAATAATTACATTTTTCTTTTTTTCTATTCTGAAAGGTCTGTTGATGTCTGCCATCACAGTTATCATTCTAGTATTATATTTTGTAATTGATACCTTCTGGGTTCAGAAGAGACCATGGCTTGCTGAGTGCACACCGATTTACATACAATATTTTGTGAAGTTCTTCATTATTGGAGTTACGGTTTTAGTGGTCGCAGTGCCAGAAGGTCTTCCACTTGCAGTCACTATCTCACTGGCTTATTCGGTCAAGGTAAGTAGAAAATAGTTAAGTACAGATAAATAATGTTTAAAGCCTCAGCTGGTATAGAAAATGCTCATCTGGTTCTGAAAGTGGAGGACTTTCATAAGTGTACACTGCTTTCTTTAGAAATGCTCTGCTTGATGCCCTGCACCTCTATGTCTGTATATAGAGACCTATGCATAGCAAGCACAGCTCTGCTAGGCAAAGTTCCAGCCTAGTTTTCATGCTGTGATAGTTATGCTGTCAAGTTATGTCACCTCCTTCCCATCTGTAAAATTAAGGTGAGAGTATTTGTCGTTTACCTGTATTACAGGAGCAGAGGGTTCACTCAAGTCCAACCTCCCAAGGCCTTGTTTCCACTTTTCCACCCCCATAGTTGGACCACAGTCTAGTCTTCACACTTGTAATCAGACTCATGTTTCTTAAAAAAAACAAAATCAGATCATATTATTTCCATGTATAAAACCTTCCAGTGACATCTCATCACACTTAGAGTAAAATGCAAACTCCTTACTGTGACGTGTGAGGCCTTGCCCAGTCTGGCCCTTGCTGACCACTCAGTGCTCATCTCCTGATCTCTTTTCACTGTGGCCCCGCCTCACCAGCCTTCCTGCTGGTTTTCAAACATCCCAGCTGTGTTCTCACTTCAGGGCCCACAGTTCCTTCCTTTGAATAAACCGCTGCCTTACTTTATTCAAGTCTCTTCAGATGTCATCTTCTCTGACCACTCGATTTACAGTAGCTCAGTCCTTATTTTCTAAGTAGAATGCTAAAAAAAAAGAACTTTAATGGCTCTGCTTACTGCTGTTTACCTCAAGTAATAATCTGAAGATTTTTAATTTATTTTTCCCAGTTTTCTATCTTATATGGAAAAGGTAAATGAGATTTTTTTAAAAAAAAAGGTTTAGCTTGTACAATTTTGATCTTTTTTTCAAAATGGTCTTACAGGTTTAAAAAAATTATGCTAAATGGAAGAATGCTGCTCTTAAAATTTTCAAATGTTAATTAGCAGTTCTCCTTAAGTAACATTGCTGACAGTGAGCAATATGAAATAATTAGTCATAGTTTCTGCTATAGCACTCTTATCTTCAGTATTAGACATGTCCTGATAAGAATGTTTTTTGCTTACTGTTTGAGTTTATTTTCTTTTCAGAGATTTAACAGCTTTTGTTTCAAAAATAAAATGGTAAATTTAGCAAAATGATGATGAAATGCAGCATAATCATGTATTTGTCCCTTTTTGGGATGTTTTAAAATAATTAGAAATATTTGGGGTAAATATAAGTGTCGCACACATTGAACAGTCATTTTACCAATATTGTCATTAGTTCATTTTGAACTCATTAATGACACTTTTCAATTGATCAGAAAAGTATTGACAGGATTGATTTGTGTTTCTTAAATACAAAGTGAATAAGAGCATTTTAACTAATGTTCTTTAGGCTTTCGTTAAGTGTTTATTTAGTCCTAGTACTACCAATTACTCTTTTTTCCACTAAGGTATAGCCTTTATGGATCCTGTGTTAGAATTTTGCAAAATTGAACACATTTTCTTTACTGCAGGGAAGAAAGAAAATTTCTTTACTTAATTCTTTTAATCCTTAATATGCAAATCATGAGTAATTTGGGAAGTACACATCTCTCCCCCATATTTATTTCTTCAAGAAACCAGTGTTTTGCAGTATCTTGCATATTAGTCGTCATAGAAAACACTTTATAAAGTAACTCTGTGTAGTTTCTAACCCATTCCACATATGTTTTAAGAATTAATTATAAGCCCTTTGGGACTACTGTGACAACTCTTTTTTTTTTAGAAATAATCTTTGTCATTGTTGTAAATGAGAGAAAGAGATGAGACACATTTTGATCCTAAGGATGAAAATATCAAGTCTACCAGCATATGGAATAGATAAAACAACCCATTCTGGTTTTGATATGTAATTTAATCAATCAGAGTAAAAAAAAAAAAAACCAGAAATCAAGCAACTAGACACCCACTCTTTATTTTAGCCAATGAAAGCTATTTTTTTCTTGGAGACTGATATAAGAATCTTTTATTTTCCACTTAATAAGGAGATTTAATCTTTTAATATACTCTACCACCATACTTACAGTACGGATTATCATTGCCCTTGTAGTATAAGGACACTTTGCAGAAGCTTTTGGAGGCATATTGTCAACATGATTTGCATGTGGATACAGATATCTGAATTCATTTACTAAATTATGTTATGCAGCAGTAAGGTGATTCAAACCACAAAAAGCTAGTATTTTCTTTAGCTTATTTGAATAGTCAATATGCTAAAATTCTTCAAGTGTTAAATTGGTACATTATACAGTATATCTATAAAGCTGGGAGTTTGGGTTCTGATTTTAAAGCAGTTTTTAATCATTTTGATGTAATGAGGTAATTGTTCTATGTGTAGCTTAATGGGATTTTTTTTTTTTTTTGGTTACTGTAGAAAATGATGAAAGATAATAACTTAGTGAGGCATCTGGATGCTTGTGAAACCATGGGAAATGCTACAGCTATTTGTTCAGATAAAACAGGAACATTGACAATGAACAGAATGACAGTTGTTCAAGCTTACATAAATGAAAAACATTATAAAAAGATTCCTGAACCAGAAGCTATTCCACCAAATACTTTGTCCTATCTTGTAACAGGAATTTCTGTGAATTGTGCTTATACATCAAAAATATTGGTAAGGTTTCTTTAATAATTTTTATATATGAAAATTAATTTTTAAGTCTTTAATGGTTAGACTATATGTATTAATAATTCTTTAGACCCACTATTACTATATATAAATTAAACTGAATTATGTTCAGTTTTTAGAAGGCATATATCCATATGATATATATTATATACACATAAGGTTTTTGAAAATACTATTTGTGTTGTGAGTAGTCTGTTGATCAGTATACACATTCTATTTATTTGCATTTTTCTCCTATATTTTGAATTTCCTGTGTTCAGAAACTCTCAAGCCTTATAACTAGAACATGTTCTTAATGTTAAATTCTTATTAAGCTCATTTTGTGAAACGCCAGGCTATCTTACTATAGAAAGTCAACTCAATTTTCTAGAGAAAATTTTGAAGCCATATTTCAACTTAAAAAAAACATGTTTTAAATATGCTTGCTATATTCTCTGTTGTTTGGTTTCTCAGTAGTTCCTACAAATAAGTTAGTCTTTACACCTTTTTAGAACTGACACAACAAAGTAATTCTAGCCTTGTGCCACCTTAGAATAAAACATTTTTAACCTTACAAGTTTCAAAAATCTTATTTATAATAGAAAGCATGAAAGTTATGTTTGACTTGATGTATCTTCTAGTCATTTATGGATGAAGACCATGAACAAAAACAATACTGCAAGTTGTTTAATTAGTGAAGACATACGTGAATTGGATGACTGGTCTGGAAAGTTAGGGGATCTTGGGTCTGGCTCTAGCATTGCCTTTTACTAGCTGAATGTCTGAACTCTGCTTTCTTTAACTGTCAAGTAAAGACAATCATATCTGCCCTTAATACCATTGTGATGATTATATAAGGTAGTATTTGTGAAGGCACTAGGAAGGAAATAAAGCTTTTCGATACATATAAGGCAACAGTACTTTATTTTAATGCATATACTGTTAATCCACAAAAATTGATAAAGCAAATTTAATTTTGAATTATTTAATATACAGGAAGAGGAAAGGAAAGGAGTGAAAATTAAGTCCCACTCTGTATATCAGGAAACAAGTATAAACTTTATACATCTTATGTCATTTAGTTTTGAGGTCATAAGTGCTCCTGTTTTACAGATGCTAAAGCCAAGGACCACAGCAGTTGGGTAATTGCCAGATTTCACATAGCCAGTAACTGGCAGGGCTGAGATTGGAGTCCATGTCATTCTCGCCCCAAGCTTCTTTCTACCTTTACTTTTCTGTGTCCTTCGTCGAAATGCTGATATTAGTAGACATTTCCTATATAATTTTGTTTTAGAATGTTGCATTCTGTTTTACATTATTAATTAAGCTTTCATAGAGAAACAAGATGATGCTAGCTTCTAAACCTTTTTCTCTTATAGCCACCAGAGAAAGAGGGTGGATTACCTCGTCATGTTGGTAATAAAACTGAATGTGCCTTGTTGGGACTTCTTTTGGATTTAAAACGGGATTATCAGGATGTTAGAAATGAAATACCAGAAGAAGCACTGTACAAAGTCTACACCTTCAATTCTGTTAGGAAATCCATGAGTACTGTCCTGAAAAATTCAGATGGAAGTTATCGAATATTCAGCAAGGGTGCATCTGAGATAATTCTGAAAAAGTAAGAGTAAAATGCTTAGATGAATAAATTGCTGACTATAGTTGCTTTATGGAATACCTACTATGTTGTTGTTGTTATTTTCTTTTTGTGAACATCGGGCATTTGATAGGACCTCAGAGCTTTTTAGCATATTTTATGGTATCCAGGTATTTGCCCGTAGTATTCTGCCATTTTCACACTCTGGCTTCTATTGTTTCTAGTATTGTGTTACAGGGAAAATAAGCCCATTACATTCAGTCTGGCAGAGTCAATGAAGTAAACTTTGATATTTGTTGTTGGACATGTTGATTTCATTATTACGTAGGATCATGAAAAGTAAAAACCTTCTGTGAAATAAAACTCAAGTTTATGTCTTCAATACTGCTTTGTAGATAATAGACTAAAATGTGATAAATGAATTATAGATTAATTTTTAGAATAGCAAAGCATAAAAACTAGATCTTGAAAATTTCCCGTTTGTATCAAAGTGAGGTTTATCATATTATGGTACTGCAGTGTCATATTTAAATATCTCCTGTTATTTTGAATACTAATCTTTTTTACTGTCCTTTTACAAACTGGTAGCTTCAATTTTGACATTATGTTTCCATATAATTTCCCTAATTTTATCTGTTATCAAAAGTGCTGGAATTATTTTGGTTTCTTTAATTTCAATAGAGAAGTAAAGAAGTTTAAATTTTTAAAGAGCAATTTTGAAAACTGGAATTTATTTGAAATTATAATGTTTAAAATATTTCTACTTTTAATTTGCTTAAATGTGGATTATAAGCCAGTATTATCTTAATGAACACTTGATAGTTGTAGTCTAACAGGTTTAAGAGACAAGTATATAAATAAATAACTGAAAGGGCTGTGTATGATAAATGGGTACAAAGTTTTCAGGTGAGAAATCACACTATCGGGAGGTGGCATTTAAGGTAGGTGTTAGTATGAAGTGAGAACGTCAAGGTGAAGGAAGCCATGACAGAGGAAAGGAGATGGGAATTTGCAGGCCATGTTGGGGGAATGTAGTCATATAGTTCAGCTGGATCATGATGAGCTTTTGTAGCACACAGGCCATATAGAGCTTTCTTGTCTCCACGGTACACTTAGTTATCTGATTTCACTGTGACAGGTTAGAAATCTGTCTCATCCCTGGCTTGCTTGGTGGTAGACAGATGGTGTAGGAGAGATTTTTGAATCAAAACCAGTCAGGCTTTGACTCCTCCTCTGCAACTAACTAGCTTTGGTATGTGGGCAGATTCTTCCCTTAGCTTCCATTTTCTTCCACTGAGAAAGGGAGTGATGACCACCATCTCTGTGACCGTGAAATAAAATAATGCTTATAAAATGTCTAGCATGGAGCCTGATGTAGAGTAGGCATACAATAATTGTTACCACAATAATATTTACATTTCATTGTAGAGACTCTTAAATGTTAGGCTGAGCAGTTAAAACTTAATTAAATAAGCCAGATAATGCCACTGAATTATTTTTTTCATCAGGTAGTAGAATCTTCCTGATTAAAGATAATTCTTGCATCAGGGAATAAAGTGGATTGGGGAGAAAAAAGGATAGACTGGAGATAAATATAAATTGAAAGGCTATTGCTATTATAATTGCTCTAGCTTGAAGTAAGAACCAGAAGAAGGCAGTAGCAGAGAAATAAACAGTGGACACATTCAGGAGACTGTTCAGAGGAGAATATGTAGGACTTAGTAGCTAATAGCATATAGATGATGAAAAAGTAAATATTCAGGTGAAATTTTAGACCTGTATCAAAATGGTTGAAGTAATGTTAATGCCTGTCACATGGGCAATGAAGAGGTGACTTCCAGTCTTTTGTGCATTAAGGTTAAAGTACCAGGACAACATCTGGGTAGAGTTTTTAAACAGTGATGGGAGATTTTGGAAAACAATCAAAGCAGAAGATGTGGATTTGGGAATTTTCTCCGTAGAAGCAGGAAGAGGTAGCATCAACAAGGGAGAGGAGTATGTAGAGGCATTGTGAAAAACAAATTTTCAGTAGGGATGTAAACAGTGTGATTTTTATGTAGTACATAATTAAAAGGTTATAGTTAGTGTCACTGAAAATAAAACTATTTTAGCATTATCTCTCACTCTGATAGAATCCTTATTTTAACAGTAAGTTATTTTTTTTTCTTCACGGTTAAAACAATATAGGTGATGAAACATCTCAGGTAAGGAGTTGACTGAATGTAGCCTTTTACTTTAAAAGAAGACAATATTTGTGATTATTTTGTTAATTAAAATTAATGCCTAGTTCCATACTAAAATGGTGATGTGTATATAGTTTATTCCAGGGATTCTTTGAAATATTTAAAAGCACTGCATTTCCAAAAGAGAAGGTTTAGAAAATTTCTAGAGTAAGTGATAAAGTGAAGAGCTATCAAATGAGAACCTTACAGATTAGAAGTGTTTTGTAAAGGGGAAGGTGAAAAGTACATATGATACAGGTCTGTAAAAATGCAGCATATATAATTCTCTAAATTCCAGATACCATTTCCCATGATTTCTAGCTCTTCCAGTTCACTTACATGGCATTAACCATTGTTTTTATTAGTTATTGATGTTTGGATTCAACATTTTCTTTTAGGTGTTTCAAAATCTTGAGTGCTAATGGTGAGGCAAAAGTATTCAGACCAAGGGACCGTGATGATATTGTAAAAACTGTGATTGAACCGATGGCATCGGAAGGCTTGAGAACCATATGTCTTGCATTCAGAGATTTTCCAGCAGGAGAACCAGAACCAGAGTGGGATAATGAAAATGATATTGTCACCGGCCTTACATGCATTGCTGTTGTGGGGATTGAAGATCCTGTGAGACCTGAGGTGGTGAAACATTCTGTGTTCTGCATGTGCAGACTCTCTTAACTATAGAGGATCTAGACCTTAACTGTAACCAATTTTCTAGTAAAAATCTTGGCGTTTGTGATTTTATTTTTCTGTGTGAACCCAGGACAAGTGAAACAATAGTGCTTATGATACATACGCTACCTTTTTATGGTTTTTAATTAGCTTCTCTTTGAAAATCCTGTGTGTTATTAGCACCATAACCTAGCATCGTGCCTTAAACTGGATAGGTTTTTCAATTGATATTTATTTATCTTTCATAGTAGATGCCATTAAGTTGTTTGTTTTCACAGGCTTTCGACCAGGACTGTCTGGTAGAGCTTTCTGTGATGATAAAAATGTTCTATATGTTGTTCAGTAGAGTAGCCACTAACCATGTGTGACTGCTGAGTTCTTGAAGTGTAGCTAGTGCAACTAAAAATTGAATTTTTAAATTTTATTTAATTCAAATTTAAACATCTGGTCAGTGACTACCATATTGAATGGCATGCAATCCTAGACTTTGCTTTTATTTTTTAAATCATTTTTTTTCTATTTGGTTTTTTTGAGTTTATTAAAGAACTGCTGTGTGCTAGGCACTATCATAGGTGCTGGAGACATAAAAAGTTTTGAGATCTGGTCCCTGGTCTCAAAGAAGTTACTGTCTTGAGTGGGGATGGACAAACATGATAATTACAACTCAGGCTGTTAGTACCTTGCTAGATATATGCAGAATATGTTATATGAGCAGAGAACATGAGCTCCCAACCTAGTCTAAAGTAATAGATCTTTTTCTTGAGTTCTTGCTGTGTGCCAGATACTATGCCAAGTGCTTTACATGTATCATTTCATACCTTTATGAGATATGAATAACACTACCCTCAGTTGACGGGTTTTTTAAAAAATTAAGATGTATAGAGCTTTAGACTTTAGACCTAATGTATTCAAATCCCAGCTCTGTCTATAACATATGTGCTTAAAAGACCATTGTGCTATATTAACCACTGGAGGAGGGGTCAAGTAAGACTTGCCAGAAGGTTAATTATCTGATCTGAGTCTTAAAGGATAAGGAAGTATTAGCTAAACTGTAGAAAGAGCAGTAAGTACATTCTGAGCAAAGAAAAAACATGAATAAAAGCACAAACACAAAAACTGTTTTGTGCAATGACTTTATCAACTAATTGATTCCACATCTAATGTGTAGTGCTGGTACTCTTCTAGGAACTGGAAATACTGCAGTGACCAAAATAGCCATGAGATTTAAGTAGAATGATAGATACATATGGATAGTATGTCAAATGAAAAGGAATTCTATGAGGAATAAGACTTGGTCCCTGCACTCATAGGCCTTATATTTTGGATGGCATATGGGAGGGGCGATATTAAATAAGACAGTTACAAATGCAGTAAGGGCTATAAAGGATATTCACACTGTAATGAAATAAAGTAACTGAGGGAGACTAGATTGGGAATTTCTGAGGATATGGCATTTGAGCTGAAATCCGATGGTGCTTACAATGAGCCACTGTGTAAATGGCTGTAAGAAGAGCATTCCAATCAAAAAATGCAGAGTCCTGAAAGTGAGAAAAGTATTTAGCTATTTTAAAGGTGGAAAGGAGGCCAATGTGGCTGTAAGTGTAAAGAAGGAGGAGGAAATGAGATGATCTCTGGCCTTACTAGACCGCAAGTGTTCTGAATTTTATTCTAAAATTCAGGTTGCGAAGTGACATGATTTATGTTGTTAAAATACTATTTTGGGTGCTGCGTAAGAAAGGGATTACAGATAAAGAGGAGTAGAAGCCGGGAAGCTAGTAAGATTATTGCAGCGATGCCAGGCAAGAGATGATCATGACGTGGCCTACAATTATGGTAGGGAAGATGGAAAGAAAGGGGGTGATTTCAAAATAAATTGAGGTAGAACCAATAGGAATTAATATGTTGGGTTTGAGTGTACTGTTTTTGACATTATTGAGGTATCTGAGGCATCCAAATGTATATCAAGCAGACATTTGGACCCCAGAGCCTGAAAGTGGTCTAGTCAGGAGAAATCACCTGTGAAACTAAAGATCTTTTAGTTTGGGAAAAGTGTGTAGTTAGGGAAGAGGGCTTTAGAGAGGTTGCCACAATTCTCATAGAGGAAAATGGAACCAGCCTCTAATTTGCATAACTTGATGGGTGATAGGGTATTGCCAGTGGAATAAGAGAATCAGAAAAAGCAGGTTATTGAGAGATGAAGATAAATTCAGTTTGGGATTTTGTGGTTTCAAATGCTTATGAAACATTCAAGTGAGTAATGTTTTCTAACCTTTGGTCCCAGGAAAATCATTCAAAGTTTTACGTATTTACTTAACGGCTTAAATCTTACTCAATGTAATATTAAATCAGAACATCTACAACTTTTGTTCTTTAGAAAATGTATTACCTATTATCATGCTCTTACCATCAAGATTGATGGAGAGTTTTATCTTTTTTAAAACATGTGACACTTTATTTTTGTCACTATCACAAAATGAGATGTGAGATGGGTACTTTTGTACTAAAGTGAGATAATGTAATATGAAACAACTTTCTCGGAGTGACTGTTTTGGACTCAGCAGTTCTGGTATAGAGAATCTTGAATAGTTAGATATCCAAACACATCCAGTTTTATTGCATGTG